ACTCTGCCTGTTGCTGTTCCATGGGGTAGCTCTTGATGACGTCTATCACCTTATACTTCGTGGCCATGTCCATGAAGAGAATGAACTTGTACTTCTGCTGACAGTTCGGCGGCAGCCACTCACTCAGATCAATACCCACCTGCGACCATGCCTTGGGCAAAGGTTTGGTTGAAGCAGGAGGAATCCGTCCCGAGCTGCTACCACCAGGTCTCAATGCCTCACAGTGCGGACACTTGTAGTCCATGACCATCCGGATCTGCCACGCTGGTCTTCCAGCATCCCGTACCATCCTGGCCAGGTTGCGGTTTCCAGGATGTCCAGCCGCAGCATGGAACTTCTTGATCTTCGTAAGCCATACCTGTTTCTCCGCTTCCGTCGGCTCGGCACCACCGACTGCCTCCTCTTCTCGCACGTCTTCGACCGCTTCACCTTCTTCTGCGTCCGGCTCTGCTTCCGCCGCATGAAGAACCATCTCCAGGTACTTCTCATCTGTGATGTCAATAGCCTCCTTGATCCAGAGCTTTTTCAGCACACGGTCTGGGACTTCCTGCTGTCGCCAAAGCCTTGCTATGCTGCGGCAGAGATTCCACGGGTAGTAGGCTGTTGATGCCGTCTCCACACCCGCGATCTCTCCATGATCATGACCTCCAACACATGTCTTGCTCCGAAACATAGCGTAGAACCGCTCGTCCGTGGTCATGATGGTCCATTGTTTCCGCAGCAGCTGCTTCCCGTCTCGAGATCTCAGATTGTAGCGACAGCCGTCAATCCGACACCAGAAAACACGGTAGCCGAAATACTCCAGAATGCGCTGGATCTGGCCCATCTCCTGCACGTTCCAACCATCACAGTGAGTAGGCCACTCATGGTAATACTCCGGACGTTGACCACTCTCAAGTGTCTTGCTGAGCCAATTCGCAAAGAGCCGCATCATCTTCCGCTCCCTGCGTCTGAACTTGGTCAATTGCTCCGGTCTGTCGTGATAGTTCAATCGTGCCCAGGAGCTCCACTTAGTGCATGGCATAGACACCCACAGTCTCCTCGGTCGCTTGTTCGCGGCCAACTTCTCCAGAACCTGGTAGGTGTCCGGCCTGTAGAGGTCCATGTTGTTCGCCAAGTTCACCCGCATGGCCTTCAGGCCATCTCTCTCCGCCGCAAATGTCAACCAACTGTCGGGAGCGCAGAAGAATTCCCACAGCGCATCCTCCTCTCCGTAGAGCATCTCCTGCACGTTGATTGCCAAATGACGCTGCGCATCCTTCTGCATCTCAATCGCTTGACTGGCCACGTATTTGGGGATGTCCCGCTTCAGTTCCCCGCTGGTGACATTTTCTTCATCTGGTCCGTGGTGAGCATCTCTGCATCCTCCTGGGCCTTCAGCGATCGCTCGCGCATCACCTTCTTGAGCTTTATAAGTTCCTCCGTGGTGATGTGCTTGAGGATCTCTTGCTCGAGCGTAGGCGTCTCTGGCTCCTCCACCACTCCCCATGAACTTGCGGCGCTTGTAGGGGACCGCGGTGCCGAGGCTGTCGTCTGATAGCCCTTCTTCATAGGCTTCGCGGCCACCGGCTTGTTCTTGCACTTGGCCAAGACGTCCGCGTACCGCTGGTTCGTGGTGTGTTTTTCGATCGCGACTCGCACCATCTCCTCCGTCGGCAGGATGCCCTTCATGGTCGCAAAGTCCTCCTCCAGCTGCTTCAGCGCCTGCTTCACGTCCTGGTGATTCTTGACCTCCGTGCTGTCCGATGGGGCTCCCTTCTTGGGCAGGTAGATCAACCGCAGGGCACATTGACTGCAGTGCATCCACATTCCCCACTTGTTGGACCGATGCCGCATTGGCTCGTGCGTTCCATAGCATGGCCATTGCTGGTCGGACGCTCGAGGATCCCGTCCGTCCAGCTCCATCGCTCGGTCCTTCTCCAGGACGTCCATCTGCTTCTTCCCCTCCTTGTCGCACTCCAACTGCTTCATCAGCACCGCCAGGTAGTCCGGCGACTTTACGGCCATGACCTCCTACCGGCACTGGCGAAGAGGGTGGCTCCACTGAGCTCTTGGGAGCAGGTTGCATGAGTCTGAGCCTCCTTGCTGCCGGGTTCGTCTGATTCAATTCGCTTCTTCGCTGCAGCAACTGACGGAAAGGTTCACCTCGATCAAACTCTGGCAGAACGACATGCAGTTCCAGAACTTCCACATCAAACGACACATGGCGCTCCTGTAGGAGAATGATGTTTGCATGCCCCTGGCTCACGGTGACGCCCCCTGTGAGGTACTCAACAAGATCCACCATATAGTGCCCCTTGGAGTTCTGCTGGAGAGTATAATGCCGTAGGGGGTCAATCAACGAGAAAACACACGTCCCATCCACCAGATCCACAACCATGCCCGTCCCGGTGTCCCCCGCGAAGTCCATGCCAACCAACACAGGAACCAGTAGGGAACGGTTCTCCTCGTTATCCTGATAGTTGCTGGGGTTGGGGAGCACATACACGGAAAAGGACCTTGGTTTCCCAGATGCTGTGGATTGGAGATCTACATGATATTCTCCGCGACCCCACTTCCCAGACCCGAAGCGAAAATATGGGCGACGGCTCTGGTCAATCTTGATCGTCGCTCCTGGGTCTTTTGCCAGTAGGGCTTGGATCAGCCCACGAACAGCACCCTCGGGGCCAGCACTTGCTGTGGCTCCCGTGTCTAGCATCCCTTGACTGGGCTTACGCTCTGCATTCACCTTGGCCGACTGCGCCTCTGCTGCATGAAGGTCTCCACGTGTTTGCCCATCAACCTCCATCTCCAGTCCGTAGTAGTCGGCCACATACGCATTGACCTGGCTGCCCTTTGAACCTTTGAACTTGCCCTTGTTCTTACCGTGGGGAAATGCGTACGCCATGTCATAGGCCGTCCAGTTGGCGTTCTTGTTCTTGTTTTTCCCCTTCGCCATGACCAGGTCCCAGTGCCAGTCCGTGTCTGCATAGTTCATGTGCTTGCCCGTGAACTTGCCGCCCATGGGTTTTCCACCAAAACCCTTCCCTTTTCGCACGCCGGGATGTTGCCGGTCAGGGCACTCTCTCGCCATGTGGTTGCCCCCGCAGATGAAACAACCACTGCTTCCTTTCATCCCAGCAGACGCCGAGGGAATAAAACCACGCTCTCTCCTCATGGCCGCAGTGGCTTGCTGAGCCTGTGACCACGTTCGCTTCGCCTCCATGGCCAACACCTCAGCATCCTGCTCGGCCTTCTGCAATTCTTGTAATCGAGGATCATCAGCGTCTTCTCCATGTTCGACTCCAGCAGGTTCCCATACAGGAGAATCGTCATCTCGCCAACCGACATGATATTGCCAACCAGCGTTCCAACCATCTCCCCATTCATCTCCCCAGTCCTCGTAGGGCGTGTCCTCCACGTACGTCGTGTAATGATCTGCTTCCGCAACATGAAGGTGATGTCCAGGGAGTGAAGGCTGAAACCGGGTTGCCGTCAACTGCTCGTCCCACAAGGTCTGCAAGGCATCGCTGATGCTGTCATAGTCCAGGCGTCCGTTGGTGGCACTCAAGATGTCACGCCACTCCTCCGGACTCAATGAGGCGGCCACCAGCAGCCTCCATCCTCTCAAGACATTGATGATGAAGGAGTCCATCACATTCAGCTCATCTTCTTCGTCCACGGTCACCGGGCTCGGTCCCGGTGTAGCTGATTCTCGACGTCCTCCCTGAGACGCCGCCTCTGCGGAATCCCGATGTCCGGCTTGAGGAGAAGCCGCTTGAGATTCCTGCGGATCGCCTTGATGTTCTCCTTCAGCAGGAGCCGGTTCTTCAGCTAGTCCATCTCCACCCGCGTCAGCAGCATCTTCTTCTTGAGACACTCGACGATAGCCACGAGACCTCCTCCAACTCGAAGTGTCCGATCCGTCCTCCACTCGGCTACCTCCACGCTGTCTCCACCGATCCCACTGACTCGGAGACCACCAATCTTGAAGATCGTCATCTCGATCTCGTTCTTCAGGTGCAGGTAGTCCAAACGTCCGTTTGCTCGGATCAACACCGCTGCGCTCTTGCTTCAGCCGAATGAGCGCCTCTTGGAACTCCTCAAATCCCAAGGTCTCCCGCACCAAGAAGTCCGCGACCTTCTCATTGTTGTACCGCTTGAAGCTGAAGTACTGGCTCATGATCGCCGCCGCATTCGGCATGCTTCTCCGCACCAATGGGCTCTGCGCGAGCTTCCGAAGGTACTTGGTGACGCCGTCCTCCGTATCGAACTCTGCCTGCGACCAGCTCATTGCCAGGAGCCTGGCAGTGCCAGTGAGCTTGGAGATCAGCCTCGTTGCCAGATACTTCCGCATGCTTTGCTTGTTCCCTCTGACATACCAGGCCACCTCCTTGCAGTAGCGTCTCCAACCCTTCGGAGCTCCATCCCAAGTGGGCACCACTTCCTTGCCCTCCATGGTCTCCCTGATCGCGCCAAAGCGCGTGTTCAGCTGGACCGTCACGTGCTCCGCTGCCAATGCAACAGCCGCCCTCAGCGGCTACACACCTTAGTTTTCCTCCTCAAGGAAACGCGTCATGGCTTGTCGCCATCGGTTTGGCTGCTAAAGAGAGGGCCCTCCCTGGCAAAGCCGAAAGGGTTCACGATGCACGTGCGTCTGTACTGTGGTCTGGGCAAACCAAAATGGTCTATCGCAGAAACCAAGCGGGATCCACCGTTTTGTTTTGGGGGGGAAGGGCACACCCAATATAGTAAACATTGTAGATTGTGTTGAGGCCAAATGGGCCCTTCTCGGTGCCAGTGTCCGAAAATCGGCCAGAATTTCTTGGGCGTGCGTTGGAATTTATAAATGGTTGGTGTCCTTTCGAGGCTAACAAAACATACGGACCCAACAAGATAGTGGGTTTGCGTTTTGGTTCTCTTGTCAACATGTAAAGGGGTACCCCCCCAAAGAAAGAACGGTTTTTCTAAGTGGCACATGGTGGGTCTTCTTCCCCCGATGCACTCGCCAGCTTTGAGAGGTCTTCCTGTGCTGGGCTGCATGCACGCCGGTGGTGGTCATCGGCGCGCCCTTGGGGGCCCTCTTTCTCACCGAGCGCCTCACCTCAAATCAGTTGAGTCACGGTGAAAACCCGTAGCAACCTTACACATTGGGAGTGTCTTTTGGGGACCCGCACAATTGTCGGTTCTCCTTTTGGTTTCCCCTTAAAAACCAATAAGTCACCCATAGTCATCTTCAAAAACGACATTTCAGTAGGCAATTTAACTCGGGTGTGGGACGTCACCCAGTGTTGGATTGATAGGGACCCCCTACATTTGCGTCGCCCGCGGAAGTCCGGCAAATCGCAGAGTGGTTCTTTACGTGGGAAATCAGCAAAGTCATGGAACTTTCCCCCCAAACACACCTCCAAAAATGGCCACGTTCTGTGATATCAGGGCAGCGCCCCGGACAGTGAGAGACGTGTCGTAGAAATGGACAGCCGGTATAGAGAGGTGCAAAACCAGGCAAGTCGAGAGAGAGTCCCTCTGCCTTAGGTATCCAGCCTTTTGACTCTCTACCAATGGTTTTGACTGTGACTCAATGGTCTAAGAAATTAGGGACCTCTTCAGGTGGTTGATGTCCTTTCGGTTTTCCTTTGAAACACGCCCCCTTGTCAAGCAAACCAGGACTCTGGCCCAAGTTGTTTGAACAACCAAGCGCCCTGGCCCATGTGGAACGATATCGGTATAAGCTCCTGAACATAAGTCTTAGGAAAACAATGTTTGAAGCAAACAAACAGCTTGGATTTGTGTGTGTGTGGCCAAGTGAGGTTTTGCATCCCCAAGAGGGGTCCTCTTTGAGAAAGTTAGTTGTTTCACCAGGCTGAGTTGAGCAGACGCTTGTTCTTTTGAATTATCCACTCGAAGGCTGCTGGTAGAGCCACACATTCGCATTAGATGCTTTGGGACGAATCGCGTGTGTAGCAACCATGTTTAGGTTTGCCTTTCATTTTTTTGCGGCAACATCCCCGCAAAGGCCTTTCTCCGAGAAACCCTGAAAGCGGAAATCTTTCAACCCAGAAGCCCATTTCGGCACCGCCTACAGGGAACTGAATTGTTAAGAGTTTGAACAGGTCAGCCACAAGTTGCACCCCGCCCAATGCGTTCCTAAACTGTTGATGCGCCCAACCCTCCCCGTTCACCATTTAGGATGTTTAATTAATTAGAACGAACCATAGCGAGAGTTTTATATCTGGAGTTTCCATAGACCCAGCACTAAGGGGGCAGAACTATGATCTTTGATGATCTTTGAGGATCAGGATCATGGAGACTACAGCAAGATCCATGTACTAACCTATGAGTGACGCTCAGCAGGTGAGGGAGTGACCTGTAAACCCTCCCTAGTTTCCTTCAAGGCACTCGAGTTCATTCCCCAAACCCTTAGCTCCTGCGCACCAGAAAGAGATTGAAGGCACATGACGCTCATACTCCGGCGCGGCTTCTTCGTCTTTGTCGTGGTGATGTTTGTGTCTCTTAGTTGCAAAGCCGAAACAGTTGCAAGCATCCGGAGTCTCCGTGCCCCTCCATGTGGGGTATATGACCCAAGGTTTAAGGTTGAAGCATTGTGGAGTTCATGCAGCAGAGTTCACCCTCTTTTAGGGTTCCCATAAATTCATTTGTTAGGTGGATTTCCGCAAATAACAGGTTGCAACAAGCGGATTTGCCTTTGCTGTCTGGTGTTTGGGTCGGATTCCCCAACACAAGCGAACCGAAGATGCGTATCCTTTGTAAAAAGACCATGTTTAAAGAGGTTCTAGCCATTCCATCTTGCATGACATTACGATCATGTGATATAAGCACTCTAGAACCCACAATCTTCGTGAGAGCCCAGGCAGGATCGCCGATGTTTGGCAAAGCATGCCTGTTTGTTTCCCAACAAGTCCACACATGCTTTTCAAGGGGGCCAAAGTGAGGACCTTCTACCTCAAGCATGTTGATTGAACATGTGTGCGTGTGTGTTTCCACTTTCCCACTTAGTGCTCTCTTATTTGGAAGCTCTTTGATTTGATATTTCCCTTTACAACAGGGTGAAAGTAGGCGCAACTCCCCGTATGTGTGAAAGGGATTGGAGCAACACGCGAATTGTGCCATGTATGCAGTACCTTTTTTGGATGATGGTTTCCACCCACCAGCAAAATCCATTTTGTCCCAGGAAGGGCAGCATCGCCCTCCTGGTGTGTCGCGAATCTGCTCCTTGCTCACCCTTTGGTTCACCACATCCCTTTCGCAAAGACTGGTGAACCCGCTTTGAACATCCGCTTGTCATATGGCCCGGGGATGGGAATGGACCTGTTGATGCAAGGGGACACACAAGGTCTTCGGCCGTGCCGTAATAAGGTTCTAAATTCTATAAAGGTCCCGAAAGCAGGTTTGTAGTTTGCCAGCATTTTTACCCGGCTTAAAATCAAGATGGTTTCATTTGGTTACTTGGTATCAGGGCTTTCCTGGATCTGGGAGTGTAGGGCGATGACTTTCTGTGAGTGGCCGGGATTCCCCTTTGTGACAAAGAAGGGATGGGAATCCCAGTATACAGATTTGGGGTCAACTACGTTTCACTTGGCTTCCCAAATAGGTACCTGAGGGCCCCCACATTGTTCTTTGTTCAACACCACTTAAAGCAAATATTATGTTATTCGGAAATTTGAGCACCCCAACAGTATGTTGAACACCAGAACTTCTTTTAGAACACCAAGCTGTTTTCGCACGCACATTTTTTGATTCTCGCCAAATGTACAACATGCAAGCGGTTTGCGAACGGGTTTTGAGCGCTGTACGAACGGTATGGTATGTCCCTCGCCGAATCCTAGGGACGGCCCACGAATGATGCAAACAGAACGCACACATGCACAACAGGCTGCGACATTGGCAAATACAGCGTTCGGTTTGCTCCGCAAGCCCGCGCGGTTTTTGTAGCACCAGTGTTGAAATGGCAACACCAAGCTGACAAAACGATCATGTTCCTGAAAAACGATGAAAGGCAACAGTTTTAAGTTTAGGGGGCAGGTAGTGGCAGGAGCTTTGCATATGTTCACGCTGTTCGCAAATCTTTGAACCCCCTTTTCACATGTATACCTTTACTTATGCTTTCCTTTTGGTAGTTTTCGAGGTCGATGGGCATTTGGATCCTTTCCGACGACCTGATGTCTTGGCTCGCGGTGAGCTCGGCTCTGGCAATGACGGCCTGCGGATTGGCCACTCACTTCGCCTGCCGCCCGGATGGAAGTTCCGAAGCTCCGTCATTTGTGCCATGCTCAAAGACCTTCCTTAGGATTGACAGGGGTGGGCATCCTGGTACGGAAATCATAGCCCTAGGCCATAAAAGGAGTTTTGACCATGGCAGTTGACTTCCTGAGTTCCCGGACTTTAGACTTTTCGGCGTTGACCATAAAATTCAGAAAACACAACCAAAAAAACTGTGGCCAATCCAGTCAGGAAGTGAGTTGGTGGGTGTCCTTGGAGATGAATTTGAACGGGGACCCTTAGGACATCATTTGATTTATGTGCACCAATCATGTGCCAGGGTGTTGTTTGCCATTGAAACTCATAGCCACAACTATGAAGCACGAAGGATTTCTCTTTGTCCCAGAAATCCTTGGTCGGATGCCCGTTGTGTGAAAGCAAGCAACCCCTATTCGTTTCTTTTGTTTCGGTGAGTTCCCTAAACGTGGAACAAGGAGGGAAGACAGAAAGAATTGTATTTTCGAATTTCACCATTGCCATGATTAACCCGCTGGGGGCTGTCCAATTTCCATCTCGGCAATCAACCCACCAAAAAGGGGGGGCTTCTGTCCTTCTGTTGAAACCTGCAGGTTTTAACCTCCAAAATCACTCACCCGGAGGCGTTCTCGTAGTTTGATTGAATTTGAAGACCTAGGCAGTTTCTAACTTGAGAACATGAACCCAAGCACCCCATCGGCATTTCGCTTTGGTCGCTGAGGCTTCGTTCAGGGCCCTCAGGTTCCGGCAAGCGTCACAGAGGTGTAGTCCTCTGGTGAAGGCAGTCAACGAGCTTGGCCCCTAATCCAGGTCCCAGGTCCTGGAGTGTTTTGTTTTATGCATCGGTCGAATCCAACAGCTCATGGACTTGGCGGCCGAGCCGTTAAAACTGCAGACTTTGACAGGTATTAGGTGACTGCAACGAGGGCTCCTCATGTTTCTCCCTTTTGGGCTGGTCTCAACATGACCTCTTGGGCCACTCTCAGGTGAGATACCTCTTGGTGGAGTGATGTGTAAGGGAGAAATATAGGGAGCCCTATATTTTAATGTGGCTCATGCGGAGACCCCTGAGAATAAGGTGATTTCTGCAACACATGTCACGGCTCAGGTGGCTTTTCTCCAAGGAACACTGTTTAAAATCGAGTACCAACAAAAAGGTCCCTTTTCCCCAGGGATAAGACTCCCCGTGTTTTTTTTTGTCAATAGGTTGTGGCCTTTGCTTTGACTCTTAGACCTCCCTATCCAGTTTGAACACGTCATTCTGGACAAGTCGAGCCAAGGGCGCATATTTCCGACCTTGGCCAGCATAAAGCTCACCTTTAAGCAAGTGTACTTTGTGGATTTTGTTTCATCGGGTAGAGACACTTGAAAGTAGGGGGTCTCCATCTCCACTGAGCCAAACCTTCCACTTTGCTTTGGCTTCGAGGCCAACCGGCTTGCGAAGCGAGCAGATACCGAATTTTGCCCAAACGGAGACCCCGGCACATCTGGACTGGTGGTTTTGCAGGTTTCCCCCAAAAGGAACGCCAAGGCATTCCAGCATTTCCCTCTTCTAGCCTGAGGGTTAGCTTTTTTGGCGGGGGCAGTATCCACCGCAGAATAACTGGGCAGCCTGGAGCCCTTCCCAAACCTGTTGGCTTTTGGCGTCAATCAGTCGGGTCGGCGACCCTTTCGGAGTCCTGGTATGGGGGTCCGTTTAGCCCGTCGAACTCCCGGGCTTGGAGAGCTCTAGGTGTAGCCTCCTCCGATTCTGTGGTCTGAGCTTTCTAATTGGAGCAGAGGAGGGAAGACTGCTGCACGGATTTGGAGGCAGGTACTGTCCACTTCGAATTTCAGTCGAACATATAGGTTCAATTTCTCCGTTTAATGGTTGGAACTTGGTAAAGCCTTTGTTTAGGTTGGATTCTTCCAATTGACAGGGAAATCCAGAAGCAGAAGACCAAGTGGACATCGTTCAAAAGTTCGCGAGGTGCAGCAACACATGATCAAAATTGCGATGCAACAACGTGCTCACATTTCAATGAGCAGCCAACGTGCGGCTCGATGCATGGCTTCGCAATCAATACCTGAATGCAGGGTAGAAGGGGTCAGCCCTGAGACTGAATACAAAATATGTTTTGGTTAGACTCATTGGACTCTTGTATTTCCAGGTTTTGATTGTGACAGAACTGCACCAGATCTAGTCGATTTTCATATAGTTCTATTAGGCCATGGATGCTTTCCAGGCCCTCCACCCGTTTGACAAGTGGAGCTGTTCGTCGCCTGCCTTTGCACAACGAGGCGTCAGCCTCCTGTAGCTTCACCTGCGACATCTCAATGTCTTAAGCTACAGATGTGGAACCCCAAAACGACTTTCCTGGTTCCCCTACCAAGATCCGAGGTGAAAAGGGCGGCCGCAAAAGGCACAAGCGTATTGAACACGTGGTTTGCGATTTAGGCAGTAAGGGAAGCCACGGATTTGCCATTTGTTTCCACAGCTCAAAAAGATGTGGCAGGCACCAAGTGCTTCATGCAAGATGTGGGTCGCCTTTTGCATCCCACACTCCGCATATGTCATGTGTGCCAATCTTTGACGCACAAGGGTAAACGGTGGGTATAGAGTGCTTGGGCTAATAAAAGCCGGCCCCGGGCATTTGCCCCTTTTCGCCGAAGGTACGCGTAGCCAGTGCCTTGGCGTGGCGAGAACAACCTTTTGGGGTACAAAAGCTTCGGGTGGCCTTTGTAGCGTTGATCTCAGATTGATAAACCCCCGGCCCCCGGTTGATTATTAGGAGTGTGTTCTTTGTTTTTGGTGGGGTTCAGATCATTATTGGAGGGAACACCCCCGAAATGGCAGGATGGGTTATGAATCCGGGTTCGGCATTGGCTCCTTTCTGTTGGGTGTCGGGTTTTGACTGTCACCATGTATGTCTTGGTTCTTTGCATCCAGGTGCTGGCCCAGCTTTGAAAAGCGCTCAATGTGGCATTTGTTCTTTGGGTTTCCCTCAAACTAGGCCAACCTGGAGCCTTTTGGACCCCAACAAAAATGGGGTCATGCCCCCTCAAGTCCAGGTGTATGACCCAATGACTCTATGAAACAGGGTGGAGGCGCTTGGAACACGGGGTCCAAATTGAGGGGGCATGACCCTCTCGGCCAGGATGAAGTTCATGTCATGTTCGAGAGTTTCGGTTTGCTGCGAGTCACTCCGCCAGTCGACCGGAAACGGACAACGGACATCGCGAGCCCGTTTCCAGCTGCGCACTTGACTTTTAGCTCTTGACCCTCTCCCTTGTCACGCAACGAAGCTCACTTCCCCACTGCCTGGACTTTGGAAATGTTTGCAAGACCACCTGTGATCAACACAAAGTACCAGTTTTGGGGCCAACGTTTGCTTTGGAAGTGAGGAAGGGACCAGATCCCTAACATCCTTAGAGCCCCCCCTCGACATTGTGAGCCCTCCGACAAGCGATCGAGGGGGCCACCCCGACCTCCAGATTCGGGGGGGGGAAGCCTCTAGACGCACAACAAGTCGGAGTTGCCGAACACCAGACGTGCGCTTGCCTTTGACCTGGCAAAAAGAGGTGGCGTCATGACCCTAAATGAAGTAGTACCCTTCCCTTTTTGTTTGGTCCAACCTGAGAATGGTAAACCCCTTAAGCCGGGCTGCTTTGTTCATGATCCCTAGCTAGGGTTGGCAGAGGCAGACCAGAGCCCCTTGTTGGCGATTTGGATGCGTGTTTTTCAGTAGGAACCCTTTTCACCGGGAAACCAATCGGACAATTACCCTCCTGTCCACATGGAACTTGACTGAGAGGTCCAAGACCGCTGTCCTTCAAATTGGACCCTTTTACCCATGCGCCAAGTGCCATTTTATAAAGTTATATCATTGAATATATTAATGTATATATTATGGCCTATATTGTTTGAAGGCATTCAGGATTGCGCGGCTTAAACCGCCTAAAAAGGCGGACCTGTGGATCAAGTTGTTTCTGTGGGTGCGCGCGTGTTTGTCTCAAAATTGGATATGGCACCCTAGAATGGTTGGTGTCCTTTTGGTTTTCCTTCAAAGCCACCCCAAAAAGGGGAACCTGACAAAACATGCGCACCTGTTTGGTGCGCATGTTTTGTTTTTTTCCTGTAGACCATGTTACTTCAGGTTTCGACTCAGCTTCGTTCCCAGGCACCCGGTGAGGCAGATCAAGGACAGCAAGGGCGAGCTGGTGGAGGACGAAGCGCAGCGGGACTTGGCCTTGGACAAGGCGCTGGAGACTGGCCGCGACAACGCCTATTGATGTTGATCCATGGTGGAAGATCGGGTTTTCGGGCCAGTTTCTGTGCCACGGTGACCCACTTGGATAGTGTAAGGTGACAAAGTAGTGGTGGGAGTCAACCACTTTGGTATCACAGAATGGAGGAATGTCCATAACCGTGGATTTGCCCAGGTGTTTGGACTAGTCTGGGGTTATTCTGTGTAGGAAATCATTCATTTGTGGGAGAACCACAATTCTGCCTTTGGCGACTCCACCGATTCAGAGGACAGCGAAAGCCGGTATAAGTCCTTTGAGGATGCCGTATGTTTGGTTTTTGGAATGCTTGTAGCATCTGCGGATAACTAAATCTGAACGCGTTTGACCCGGGATCCATTTCGCCGTGCAGGAGACCACCCTACATACGAAAAGTGGAAGTGTTGGTTGCAGTGGCAACTGGGATTCACTTGGCCAGTTAATTTTTAGGTTATTCTTGCCTTTGGATGCTCTTCTTGGACCAAGGTTTTAGGAAAACTGGGGGCTAGCTAAATGAGGGTCGTGAAATCAAAAAACAGCCCGAGTTAGCTTTTCGGACTGATGCGGTTCGATGGCGGTTCTGAAATTCAACAAATCGTCACTGGTAATGGTCCTTTCGATGACAATGGTCCTGGGAATGATGGAGATGGAGCCGTTGGTTACCTTAGGTCTTTTCGATTGTTTTTCTTTGATAGGCTTGGTAATGCTCGGGTTTACAGAGAAGTTAAGAGGGCGAGATGGGTCGAGCCTGCAGGCAAAGCCAATCACGGACATGACCTGCCTTCCCCGGTTCCTGATGGACTTTGGGCCTTGATTTCTTGAATTCTGGGCATTCGGGCCCCAGGAGCCTTAGGGTACATTGAAATGACAATAGAGCGAAACATGACTTGTAGATTCACAGCCTATGGGCTTTTGGAGTCTTGGGGTGAAAAAGGGCAGACGGGTTTCGGAGTTTCACAGTCCGCTCTGCTCGCTCCGCGTTGCTCCGCTCCGCTTTGCTCTGCTTTGCAGCACTGAACTGTGCTCTGCTCCGGCTACCTTCTTGGACCGTATTATTGATGTGGGCATGGGGGGTCAACTTAGATTTTTGTGATGCCAGGAAACCGTTCCCCTTGCTGAGCACAAAACTAGTGATTGGAAAGGCCTTTCAGTGGTTTCACTGCAGTGGCTGCCGTTCCCACAATCAAACAGGGAAATGTTGTTTTCAAAACAGCCAACTCAACCGATGCGCTTCATACATCCACATGCTGGTGCAGAATTTGCTCTTCGGGGCAACGTTTAGTGACATCAAGGGAATCCTCCCCGTAGGTGATACCGAAATATGTGCATCGACAACTTGGCTATCACCGAAAGGGAGTCATGTTGCACACCCACCAGGTGACGGAGTTGCACATGAAGCGGAAGGACCAGAAGTATGTCAGGCGACGTCGCGAGTCCCGAGTCGCGAGTCGCGAGCAGAGCGAATCGGATTGAAAACCCACAGCCGGGCGTTGTTCAGTCAACAA